GAGAAGCTTGTGATATTTCAGGTACTACAACTGGTGGTACTTGGTGTACCAGGGATCAGAATACAATCCAAAGAGCACAGTAAAATTGAAGAATTGATGCAAACTCAAATAGTATCTGATGCTGAGATATTCTTCCTAGCTGTTGGGTATATCAAAGATCATCCTTATCTTGCCTAGAGATATTTATTGACCATAGCTTTCGTTACAAAGCAGTCAAGTACCAATAATCTGAAATATATGCAAGTTTTAAAAGTCTATATTCAAGTTTTAAACCGTTTTGCTTATGAAGAATGTTCTTACTGGCCTTTTCCTGTCTCATTTGGGAGATGAAATGTGAGCCATATATTTGCTCTGGAATTGGCTTGGCTCTGAGGGAGCCATTACCGTTGCTATTCAAACCTCTGGATTCAGCGTACCTTTGAATTACTGAGTTCTTCTGTTCAGAGGAGTATTTCAGTGTAGGTGGTGCAATGTGAAATCATTCTGTTTAAACCTTGGCTCTATAAATATTTTTATGCTGAAATCCTCTCTAAAGTAGTAATAATAATAATAATGACATTACCGGTAACTGTCACCCACTGTATATAGGGTACATTATTTGAAGAGTCCTAAATAAATCTGTAGAAGTCTGTTGCTCCATCACAGATATAAAATGAAGGGCAGATTATTGCCGCTGAGAAAGATAATTACGAGTGCCACTGAGCTCCTTGGAGGTTAAGAAATACTGTATGGGGTCACAGCTGGCCCACCCTATCCTACAGCATCAACCAGTAGCAAATACTTTTGGACAGAGCACAAGAAACAGGCAAGACTAGAGTTGTCCTTCCTCGGAGTTTACAGGCCCAGATTCCAGCCGTCATCTGCTGTAGGCGTCTCGTGACCCAGAGACTGAGCCTGGACCATTGCGTTCAGAAGCCACAGGCGGACCTCCGTCTATGAATTTTCTGTTCCACTTGTTACACTACCTGTATTTTTTCTGCCTTCCCCACATTCTGAAGCAATGATATCATGTGTAGTCCGTATTTCCTTTCCTTTACATTTGTTGTTTGATTTCTCTGCATGCTTTTTATTCCTCCTTTGTCCTTTTATTTCTTGTTAATTCTGGAGATGACCTAAAAAGTGCATTGGAAAGGTTTAGCTCAACAGTGTCTGCATTATGGCAGATGGGCTTCATCCCGAAACCAGAAAATTCTCCTGTGCTCCTTTAAATAAGTCTTTAAAGAACAGTGTTGTGAACTGTCAACTCAGGTTCCTGTGCAGTCACACAGCTGTAAGATGCTTCCTGAGCATCTTCCCACACACTTCTTCTCCTCTGTGTGGGGAACCTCATCCAATTACCATTTACAAGCTGGGAAAGGGGATGGTGTTAAATGCTACACTGGCAGAAGATGTAGCCTACTTCTAACATAAATCAGAAAGATTCTGTCAATTACTCTTCTTGCTATACTCTTCTGTGATTTGTAGCATATGAAACATGAGTCTAGAAGAATTTAAATTCAGGCCAGTCACTGATCACATATGGGCCCAGTGGGAGGCTGGTGTGAGTCTCTGAAGAATCCGCAGAGCGTACGGACCCCTATAACCTGTACATTGAGCTGGCTAGGGGTGGACTACATCACCTTAATCCGTTTTTCAGGTTACCCATGCTGTTCTGCAAGTAACTGTATTCCGAGTGTTGCCATCCCTTATCAGACAGTGTCATTCTGCTGGGGTTAAAATGGTCATGGGGGAAAGGACGAGCTTCTCTATGGTACGTAGAGTCGTGTTTAAACAGTAGATATGTTGTAGCTAAGTTACCTTTCACAGGTGAAAGAAAACGTGACTTTAAGCCAACACATCTGAAAAATATTATGTGCAAGTATAACCATTTGGCAGAATGAGTTGGATATAGCAAATATTAGTACATAAATGAAACAGAAATAAATCCTGCTGCATACAGAGGGGTTTCTGTGGGTATACTGAAGGACATTACTGGGGAGTCAGCGATTGGAGACAAGTGAGTGACAAGCTAATCTTGGCCTAAATAAAATACGAATCAAGAATAATGAAAACACCGAGACACGTTCTCACAGAGTGAGTTGGAAGAGTTTTATCAAAAACTACAATTAGTTGTCAAAAACATCCCTAGGCCATGACTTTCTTGTGTAGTTTAAAGACTTCAAAGCAGCGTGTCATTCAGGAATACGCACTGGAGTGCAACTGGGATGCAGCTTAGAGGATAATGGTAATAGCAGTCTTGAAGGTCCTTAGATGAAAGTGGTTTTATAAACATGAGTTAAATGAGTTGCTAAAGATAATTCTAGTCAAGGACTTCAGTATTATTTAATTGCTGTAATTTATTTCAAAATAGAAATATCAACAGATAAATTTAGATGTTTCCAAAATCTGCACAGGAAACAAAAAATGGCTTTGCTACTAAGTCTAGAGAATATAAGATGGAGACCAAATATGTGCAGTGTTTGGGGTTTTTTTCTCTCACAAAGAACAAACTGATACTGATAAAACTAATTACAGTAGAAAATGGAGAAAACTGTTTTGTGTTGTCCAAACAAATACAAATCAGCTAAAAAACATTCCCTTAAAGCTCACTTGGGTAAAGACAGCGGAAAAGCACACAAGAAACTGCCAAAAATGTTAATAGATTATATCTCACCTGGGAGAAACAGACTGACGATAGACTACTGATGAATGAAAGACAGCTAAAAACCACAGAATAAGGCAATTTCTGCTGCCTCTGAGCTTTGTGGAAGGTAAATGGAAGGGAAAATGGCTTAAATATCATTAACGTTAGGGGAAGAAATGCAGTCACAGATTCAAGAGATTTTCTTCGTAGGTTGCTAAATCTTCTCCACCAAAGGTAGAGGCTGTGACTCTGGCCATGCTGTATGCAGAAGAGGGGCTTTGGCAATCAGGAAATTTTAGTTCATTACTGTTCATGGTGCATTTATTTTGCCACTTATGGTTGAAGCCCCAGCATTCAACTCAGTACATTAGATGGGACGGATTTAGGCTACTGTTGTACCTGTAGGATTATATACCATGATGTGAAGAGAGAAGTGGGGCTTCATACATTTTTGGAAGGGGAAAAGTGCCCTGTTAGCTTTGTGAAATCTCTGAGTTTGTTTTTTTGTTTTTGCTGACAGTTTAAGCGAAAAGGATCTGACGTTAGGAATAGAGCCCTGGTAAGGCCCTTAGAGTGAAGTGGAGAAAGTCAAAGTTCAAATACGTGGATGTAGTAAAGCCCAGCAAGCAATTCCTTCTTGGAAATACAATGAATCTTCAGAATTTATTAAAATATAGCGGTATTTTTCTGTGTACCTGAACAGTTGTACTTCCAGCCCCACGGGGTACGCTCGCCATGGAAAGGGTAACGGTACCCTTCTGTGTGGTGGTAAGATCTGTAATTAGTGGCTGTACTGAGAACTCCTTCCAAGGACATCTTAGCCCCCAAGGGAATTAGGAGCTCGTTACTGGCAGCCAGCACATCGCTGTGTGGAGGTTTACCCTCCCTTGAGTCACGTTTCCCCCTTAGGGAGTTTGTACCTTCTGGAGTTTCTTGTCCCAGAGAAGACAATACAATAATTGGATGTTATTACTTGCAAGGGGGGCTACAAGAAAGCTGGAGAGGGGCTTTTGGCAAGGCCATGTACTGATGGGATGAAGGGTAATGGCTTCAAACTGAGAGGGCAGGTTTAGATTAGGTATCAGGAAGACATTTTTTCCTGCGATGGTGGTGAGGCAGTGGCCCAGGTTGCCCAGAGAAGCTGTGGATGCCCCATCCCTGGAGGGGTTCAAGGCCAGGCTGGATGAGGCTTTGAGCAGCCTGGGCTAGTGGGAGGTGTCCCTGCCCATGGCAGGGGGGTTGGAACTAGATGATTTTTAAGGTCCCTTCCAACCCAAACCGTTCTAGCATTCTTAGCTTTACATGAGGTATATGCGAGACAAAACGTTTCAGACCCAGAGAATTCTGAGGATTGTATTTTCTGTTTTGCAACTAGAGGAAGCAACCAGGAATGGCAAGATAGTTTGGGTTTTTTTTGTTGTTTTTTTTATTTTGTCCTGGAAAAAGCAAACTTTGTTTCTCCTCAGGTACTATAGGCAATTAATTGCAAGCTTTGTTTTGTACTGGCAGGACCAACACTGGTTAAAGATCCATTTCAGGCTGCATTTGTTTCTCCGTGCCTTCAGAATCAGCATGAAGGTAAGAAAGGTTTCAAAGTTTTGGCCTTTATTGAGCTTAGCCTATAGGCAATATGAAATTATAATTTTTGCACGCATCGCTCAGTCTTAAAATATGTCTCATAATAACACAACGTTCAGCTAAGTTTAGCGGTAGAGATTACTCCAGACTGAGTGGTTCTTACACTTTTTCACCCTCTGTAAAACTTGGATTTCCCTTTTTACTCCCTTCTCATATCTTTTGGAAAAGGGTCACAAATTTTCCAGTGTCCTAAGCACTTGATCTGATGCTTAGATATGTGTAAGATCAAGCCTTATCTGCAAGTCAAAAAATGATTTTGTCATTCTAACATGACACGCTTATTTTTGTCCACGCCATTATAAAATTACATTGTTACTATTCTAGGAAACCAATTATAAAGCTGCTTCTGAACAATGTAAATGTTTTCCTTCTAGGTAGGTTTTTATTTAGTTTTTCCTTCACTTCCTTTGTAAACAAACAAACAAAAATACACTGAAAGGAAAAGGATTACATCTTATATGATTCTGTATTGAAACTTACTGCAAACACTGTTAGAAGTTCATAGCAAGATTTTTTAAGATCTTTTTTCCTTCCCATAATGCAGTAAAACAAAAAACCCCGTGAATAATGAAAATATGTAGTATTAAGGAAACAATGGCTTTGTAGTTCAGTGTCTATCTTGAATCAGCAGCCCTTCAGGAGGGCTCCATAAACACATTCTGGGTCTGTTGTAGCATCTCTCAGACTAAACACACTACAAGTCAGTACACAAATAAATACACGTTATTGTGCTTCAGGAACAAGTGCTCACTCCAACTTTTTATTAAAACTGAACACAGGGAAGTATTCAAACATACTTCTGGTTGAGAATCTAGACAGCTAACATGTTTTCAGGATCATCTGGTTTTACAGTATTGCAGAATCTCAGTTAACTCTTTTGAGTGTACATTCACAGGAACATGTAAGTGAGCAAGCACCTCGTTATTCAGCCAACAACCACTAAATCATCACCAAGAAACTGGTAAGTTGGAACCTCAAGGTTATAGGGAGCGGGACCTTTCCTGATTCTGCCAGAGGCATCGTAATGGGACCCATGGCACGGGCAGTAATAACCGCCAAAATCTCCAGAGTTAGCAATGGGTACACAGCCAAGATGAGTGCAGACACCTACTAATATGACCCATTCTGGTTTCTGTACTCTGTCTAGGTCATGCTGCGGATCCCTCAGTTTAGACAAATCGACTTCAGCTTCCTGATTAATCTCTGCCTGGGTTCTGTGACGCACAAAAAGGGGCTTCCCTCTCCACTTGAAAGCCACGTTCTTGCCTTCTGGAATGTCAGATAACTTGATCTCAATCTTTGACAACGCTAGCACATCAGCAGAGGCACTCAGGCTGGAAATAAACTGGGTGACAACATTCTTAGCAGCATATGCAGTTGCTACGCACGCCGTTGCAGTCACCAGGTAGGAAAACCCTTTTCTAGCTTCACTGCTGCTTTGAGAAGATCTGGTGGCATCTAGCACGTCTTGACGACGATAGTCAGAGAAGTCAGGTACCACAACATCATTATGGACGCAACGAACAATGGCAGGTGCTGCAGGAAAAAGAACATGAAATGACAACGTTTTCAGGTAAAAAATATTATGATGTATTTTAAGTTACACCTTTTTAATTGCATTTTTGGAATAATAGGTAAAAGTTATTCCAAAGTCTGGGTAGCATTCCGCTAATTATACATTTTAAGTTGTAGGAAAATGGTTTCCAGAAGGTATTTTTGGTAGATGAACAGGTGATTTGTGAACCACTTTACCTATTCTTTGAAAATGATACGGAGCCTGATAAGGGTGCAGAAAAATCTGTGAGAAGTTCTGGGTTTAAAATAAACTATTTTTTTTCCAGAAGATTTCAAAGAAAAACTGCAGAATACCATGAGTAGCTGAGAAACAACAGACCTATTTTCCATTCAAAATTGCTATGAAGAAATTTGATTTGTTAAAGTTTGTAGCTTAACACTTTAGTGCTTTCCAGTGACATAAGTAACTTCTGCTTCTTTAATAGTGTGGTTAAGCATTTTTAAGATTACAAACACAAGATCAGGAATCCCCCTTTGTATTAAACTGTTGTCAACGCTAACTGCCCCAGTAAACAATTTTTAAACCTTTCAACCTTTACAGTCCCCCATTTGCTGTGCTCACTTCCTCAAAGGATAAAGTTAGCAACTGTCCAATTCCCAAGCCTTCCACGTGGGATTCCCGTGTCAAACCTGTGTGCTAAACTAATAAGATGTGCCAGCTAACTAAGAGGCCAACCCTTAGTTTCTCCAGCAAAAAGAACATGCTAAAGGCAACATACTGCTTGCCAATGTACAACCTTTGTTGTTTCAAAAAAACTATTTAGTCTTTATTAATTTTTCTAGCAGTTGGCAAAAAATCAACAGAGGTTCATAAAAACCATTCTCCCAAAGTACTTAAAATAACTTTCAGGGACTTATGCAATATAAGGAGGAGAAGATTTACACTTACTTACAAGTAACTCAGCACAGATAAGATACTAAACTGAAGTTCAAAATCCTGAGAGTAAACCAAGCTAATTTATTTCCGTATCAAGACTTAAAACATTTCACACTTAGTAACGATCAGTAAACTCCGAAAAATTACTTATTTCAGTGAAAAGTCTGCTTGATGTTAGTTAACACTAAGAGCAAGACTAAACACCACCTCCATTAGCCCCAGGCTTGCAGGATTTTCACCGAACATCTCCCTTACAGCCGAGGCTCAGGCTCAGCGTCTCTCTCCAGCCCTGTACGGGT